TTTTTATTATTATTAAAATGTAATAATACTTGCTTGTTTACGGTTTAATTGACTTGTCGTTTGTCAATCTGAAACAAGTTTGTGAAAAAAATAACAGGATTATCGCATAGATACATAATATTATAAACCGTACCTGTATCTAACGAGTATATGATTTTGCTACTTAATCTCTTTACTGATGCAATTAAACTAACGTTTATAGGATGAGACAACAAAATGTTATATTTGAAAGTCGCTGCATTTTTATTTAAAAAAAGGCTATTAACAAAAAATTCGAATAAAATTCTTATAAAAATAGACACAAAATAAAAGCGTTAAAATAAAAGTAAAAGTTCCAACGGGTCTTTTTTTTTGAGGACTTGCAAAACAAACAAAAATCTCTAGGACTTTCTATAATATACCAATAGGCAAATCCTTGTTGCACACCCTGTATGTAATCAATAAATCTTACCATCAATCTAATTTTCGATCCTTAAATACAAAAAAAATGCCCAAACGTTTGCATAGAACTAATCATAAATGTTTTTTAAAGTATATTAATTAGTATGTAATATAAATGTTAGAATAGTCTAACAGTTAATAAGCGTTCATGATAACGGTTAGTTAAATTCAGTTCTTGTTTTTTTATACATCCAAATATGACGTCTTAATGTATTTAAAATACAAAGTTTGAAAGTTGCTAACGGTAAAAATTACTATTGAATTACATGACTTGTATTTTAATAAATTGCGGTCTAGCATAACTTGTTTTGTCAAGAACATTTTCTGTGCAACCAAAATGATTGCGTTTGTAAACCGTTTTAAGTTGGTATCATTTTTAAAGGGCCTTGATGCTTAAGGTGAAAGTTTTTAAATTGCGTTGGCGTTTACTGTTTTGTTGTTTTTTTTTTTAAATTATTACGATTATAAATCTATTGTCTGGACTGAAATATCGTTAACGGAATTTCGAAACAAATAAAAATAAATATCACCGTATTGTGTATCAATATTATTGTAAGTTGCCACTCATATCATCTACATCTAGTCACACATAAACACGCACTTATTATTATCTACGTGCGGTAAAACAAAACACAAATTAACAATGTCAATGGTCTGTTGAGGTATTTATATATATTGGAACAAACATTGGCCGTGCTTGCGTATGCATTTTATTTATAAACAGCAATCAATACACCAAACGAGTATTTCCTGTCTTCGAAACAGAAAAATACATATTATTATTATATGTCTCGGTGCGAATAGCCGTGACCGACATTTTGAAAATCGGAAAACAACTAATTATTTTGAAAATAATACATTTTATAAATTTGAAACGATTAACTTGAAATTTTTGAAGCGTTTTTATTCTTAGCTAAGGGGGTAAAAATTGTTGAGGTTGTAAATATAATATAAATGCATATTATTTACCGAATTATTACCAAACGTCGTTGATAATATTTTTATTGTTAAAATTCATACCATAAGAACGGCAATGTCACAAACCAAAACAAAACTGTCCCGTAAAATTATAATACAAGACATGAAAATGACAAAAAAAATTACTTAAATCCTTTTTCGCAAAAACCGTCCGATTAAAGTCTTAAAAACTTTGATTGATTTTTGAATATTAAAAAAATTAAACTGTTTAACGGCCTGTTTGTGAGCCCACCCTTATCACAACCCTTATCACATATGTGTATAAGTATTAGTCCTGATAAGGGTTGTGATAAGGTTGGGCTCACAACAGGCCTATAGTAGATTTGCACATTGAAGAGTATATTTTGAAAGTGATTTTATCTTACTTTTTATTATTATCTTTTTATTTTCTTCTTCTTCATATTTTTTTTATACTACCTTTCTCATTTTTTACTTTAGAGGTTTATTTTGTATTGTATAATATATTACAGTAACGCGAGTTAATGTGTAAAATCCGGAAGTGTCCCCAATTTTTTTATAATCGCCATAAAAACACACCATCGGTTTGCACGTTTGTGAACACTGATACTATTTTTGTTATTATTATTCAATAAGGCATATAATATTTATATGTAACACGGTATCATGTATTGCGTTGATTATTGTATAGGTACCTAATGCGGAAAATATCGGTTTGGCAACTGCCGTTAAGGCGTTTAATAATGTATGTAATGCAATGTACCTAAAACCCATTTTTTTTTTTCACAGTAAAACTCTTTAACGGTGTTCTGTTTATAACTGAACAAGTAACTAAAATATAAACATACTATATAGGGTGGTCATTTTATGGACCTAGATCCTTAGGTAGGATCCATGTAGGATTAAGAGTAAAAACAATTTTTCAATTTTACATTCCAAAAAATCGTCTCGCAAGCCTTTCCCGTTTAAACTTACTCAACTATCCAAGTCTGTTTGATAACTCGAAAATTAAAAAGATGGGGTGCGTTTTTTCCCCGTCAAAATATTCTCTCTAAATTGTGTTTTTTTATCTTGACACATTTTTTTTCGGTAACAATAATTATTATTCAAAAAAAATCAACGCAACAAAAATAAATTGTGTTTTTCGCCCGTTTATGTAATTTTGTTTTTTTACCCTCTCGACCATTTCACATAGTGTTTTCTTCGTGTACAGGTGTGTTACACGTTTTCGATTTCACTTTGTAGTCGGTAATAAATTGTCAGGCTAAACGTTTGTTCTATCTATTTAATATAGGTATACTGAACATACATAGACCCGACCCAAAGCAATTTCAGCGCAAACCGTCCGCCGGTTGCCGGATTGTCACAATAGGCCAGTGTGGTGTTTTTGGCCTATTGTCTATCTTTGGTCGCGTACCATCGAAAGTGTTTTATTTTTTTATAGTAATTATTTTACGGACAAATTATAATTTTCCCTTTTAATATTATTATTTTTCCAAAATAAAAAATTAATTGTTCGACCAGCAGCACAATATTGACAGTAACCAAATTGAAGATATCTCTATGTAGGGTCGTTGGAGATAATGGAGAGTGAGAAAGTGAATCCAAGGTTTGATAAAAATATAGTAAACAACATTTTCCAAATGAAAATAGTGTTTGACATATTTTTTGTTGAAAGGGAATTGAGGGCTAACGACTAACACGACAAAAATTCAGATTTAAAAAACCTTAGTTTTGACACTATTTCGAATCTTGGCAAATGAAATTTAACAAAAAAAAAAAACGTTAAATAAATGTTTAAACAAAATATTTTGGTTTTTTTTTTAAACATGAAAACACAGTATTAAATAAGTTAAAACCAATGTTGTAATATATAGTTTATACAAATTCAAATCAGTTAAATCGATGTTACATTTAAAAAAAATTAATTACATTTGTTTAAATAATACAATAAATTAGTAAATATATACATTTATAAATCTATTAGACCATATTAATATATGTCATGCAAATAATTAAATTTTTTTATCATGTTATATGGTTATATTTACGCTGTTATCATAGGCGGGAACCTGGTAGACAGGCAGTCCGCTTTATTATTTTTAAATAAAAATAAAAATATGCTCTTTCTCTCGATAACTATAATGTATTTATTGCTGACTCTCTACTGATTTAAAAAAAATATATATAGATGTATAAACCCACCTTTGAAAGATGAGTAATAAAATAAAATACGTTTAAAAATAACAATAATTGTACAGGTTTATTTTTTTATTGCAAATTACATTAAAATTGTTCAAAAGGCGTTTAGTATAGGCAATTTAAATACATATATGAGTAATTTCATACTCGACGTTATTCGGTTTTATAAATGCCATTATTTCTTGAATATTTTTATTATCTTTTATTATAAATAAGCAATCATTTTTATTCAAAATTTGTAGTTCTATAAAGTGGATTTCTTTCTTAAAAACCGAAATTATTTAGGTCAAATTAATAATGTTGTGTTAGAAATAACAAAAATTCTTAAATGTCAGAGAAATTTAATTTAAAATTAAAAATATAAAACTAAAAAGTAATGATAAAAATACAATTTATTTCTCTGCACCAATTTGTGAAGATATAATATGTCGATCCTTATTTATCAAGCCTTCTGCCTTGTTTTTTTTTATTAAAAGTTTTGTGTGGCGAGGTCAAAGTTTAGTAGATATTGTTTTAACAAATGCTTTCATCTATTGATTTATCGTATAATGTCAAATTCCCATTTCTAAAATTCACATTATTTTTTTGGAAAACTTATAAATATGGCAGGAGTGGCCAAAGGATAACAATGGCGAATACTTGATAGTATATTAAAAATTAAATAACATCAACATACATTTTGATGATGATGCTTCTGTGTTTTCACTCAACTTTTTTCTTTTTTTTATTATTATTTTGATAAGTGTATTTATGTTAATAATTATATATTTATTATTAAAACAATGGTCACATTTATAGCTATGTGCATTTGTTTGATACTTAAATGAGTACAAAAAGTATAAATGCTTATTATATAATAATTTATAATTATTATGCATGTATTTGTTATGTGTGTAAATTAAAGCAATTCACAAAGTACTAAAAATGAAGAAATGCGTTAAGTAAAAAGATTAAATAAAATTTTAAAAATATCTACTATATATTCACTTGATAGTAAAATATAAGCACTACACAAAATACAAAATCATCAAATTACATTAATTATCTGCCGGAAATCGATAAAATTTAATTTCTTCAGGTTTCTTTGCCGTTGTTGTTTCAGTTTAACATCGCGCAAAGTTGATTAGCCATGTGAAACAAAACTCAAAACTAAAAGGGAACAATATCAATATTATATTTATGCTCATAAAAAGTTAAAACACTGAAAACTTGGCTGAGAAAATATTGATAATATATTTAAAATTATATAGAAATTTGTATTTTGGCGCCAAATACTTGTAATTGTTATCACGCATCAGACAGTGTCAAAGAGTAATGGATAATCTATAGTATTTGACGTCATAAAATAATTGATAACAGCCAATAACTGATAAGGATTTTCTGATAAGTGATAAGACGATTTTAAAATACTCCGAATTCGTGTGCCGCCGATAGAACGCATTACTCAAGACTCATTAGTCATCTCTTATCGTCGCGAACTACTTTTTAATATTTATTAAACTGTGACTTATCTGTTAACTGAAAATTATAACTCTTCGTCCTGTACAGTTGAATCGAGTACGATTTTATTATTTAACCCTGTAAGTCTGTAATCTGTATACTGAAACCTACTCAATACGATAATCTAGAATATTGTTTATTATTTTTTTACTACTGTAACGATTGTCACACGTGTTTCCTTTTTTTTGGTTTTTCGGTTTTGGTTTAAAATTAAAAATATTGAAATTTTTGTTATGCGCTCAAACACAAATTCAATGAGTTTACGTCGCATTTTATGTTTGTTTTCTAGTATATTGGGATCCGCCACCTAAACGTATGCGATCAACATGAACGTTCTGTTGCCACCAACAGTCGTACGAGGTATGAAAATATTTGATATAAATAAGTTTACCAAACTCATCAGTGTACCCGCCATAGAAGTAGACACGCAAAACATTGCCAGCGCTAGTAAAATCCTAAAAAATCAGCTGTTAAAATTTACTAATTTCAAATCGATCCGTGACAGCGGTTCCAACAACTACAAACGGGTATTCCTTCTGAACCCGCTCAAAGTGCGCTCATTCGATGACCTCAATCTGCCTTTCGCGTCGCCAGAACACTTTAGCCATACGGATGTGAAATTAACCTACGACAATTGGAAACACGATGAAATACTTAGGGCAATCCTTCCCGAATCATCAATGTTGACAAGTTATTCAGCAATTGGATCGATCGTTCACGTCAACCTCAAACCCGAATTATTAGAATATAAAAATGTAATCGGACAAGTGCTCAAAGACAAAATCAAAGGATGCAAAAGTGTTGTCAATAAAACTGATAACATCAACAATATATTTAGGAATTTTGAATTTGAAGTTCTAAGCGGTTCTAGCGACTTGCAAACATCGTTTAAAGAAAATAAGTGTATTTTCGAGTTAGATTTTTCGGAAGTCTATTGGAACCCAAGGTTATGTACGGAACATGAGAGAATTTTAGAAAAACTCAACGCCGGAGACCTTCTTTATGACGTTTTTGCCGGAATCGGACCGTTTTCTATACCCGCCTCAAAAAGAGGATGTACGGTGTTGGCTAATGATCTAAATCCCAACTGCTGTAAATGGTTGAATGTCAACAAGAAGCTAAATCGCATTAAAGATGATCGATTGACAATAATCAACAAAGACGGAAGCCGATTCATAATAGAAGATCTAAAAGCGCATTTAATTTTGTATTCAAAAACGTTAACTAATGACAACGATAACAAAGTACATGTTACAATGAACCTCCCCGCAATTGGTATAGAGTTTGTGAAATATTTTAATAATTTATTTGAATGGGATGAAATATCAGATAGTTTTCTTCCTATTTTACACATTTATACCTTTGTGAAAACTAACGAAAGTTATGAAACTGGTCTACATCTAGTCATGGCTGAACACAACATAAAAGAAGAAGATGCTCAAGAAATTATTCGAGTCAGAAATGTCGCGCCCAACAAAGAAATGATCCGAATAACATTACAAACCACCAAAGAGATGTTGTGCAAAAGTAGTGTTAAAAGAAAAACCGAAGAACAGGAAAACGAAAATCCAAAAAAAACAAAATAACAATAATTTTTTGTAAACTTTTTACCATGTTATGCTATAACAAAAAATTGACTATCCTTATAAAAAAAGTTTTATTTATTTTTTAGTTATTTTCTTTTCTTATTAGACTTTTTTACCACAAAAAAAAAAAAAATATTTATATTTATGCATTTGGACTTTTAAAAAAACATATGTAACCGAAAAATATCAAACTATGACATACAATCAAACGTATTGTAGTGGCTTATTTTAGTGGAATTTATTTCTAATTTTGTGACTACAATAAATTAAGCAACCATAACTGATAATTATTAATAAAAGTAATTGTTTTCATTGAGGTTTAAACTTTTTAATGATGCACAAAAGCGTTATTATTAAATGATAAGGTGACCACCTTATAAAACGAAACTAGTTTAAAACATTTACTTATTTGTTGTTTATTTATTTGTAGAAAAATTGTGTTGTCACATGGAGGCTGTTTCAGCAATGTCAGTTTATTCTAGGATGTCCATGAAGAGGTGACTATAGATCATTATACGCCATGGAACATAATCAACAAGATCATTTAACAGCTCATGTGTTTAGTCGTATGTTTTACATTAAATCTGATTACGCCGAGGTAATTGGTAAAATTGTGCAAGAGGCAAAATGTCAATTCCATGATATTATATGCACTGTATGTCCGGATTACGTACAACTGCACAACGACAGTGAGGACGTAATCAAACAGTTTGAACTATTTTTTGTGAAAAAAGTGCCTAGTAAGGCATTGATATATTCGCAACATGTTAACAGTCCTGTGGATTTCGACGATATACGAAAGTTCCAAATCTACACACATTTACTGCTCGGACGTTGTATCAGCCAAACGTTTAAGGTAATATTTTTTTCTTTGTTTAGAACTGAACATTATTGTAATAATTTTTTATCTAGATGAAGCGATATATAAAAAAAAACAGCATTTATTTAAACATTCAATTATTTATGACAAACATTTTTCATTAGTTGTTATTTGGTAAAAAAATTTATTAATTATTTACGAATACATTTTTTGAATTATCGGCGTAACTTTTGTAATTTTTTACTTAAACAAGTGATTTTTAATACATTTATAAACAATATATGTATAATTAGTAATTATTAATTATTTCAAATAATAAGATGTTTTTATGTAAATAATAAACAAACAGATTACATGTGTCAAGTGCAAATATTTTATTCGCATATAAAAAAATATTTATTATTCAATTTTAACTTGAATATAATTTTTATTTAATTATTTTTTTTTTTTAAAGATATTAAAAGAATGTTTTGAAAAATACACGCTTAAAACTATGTTTTTGAGTTTCAACGGCGGAAAAGATTGTGTCGTACTACTACATTTGTTGCTGGCCGTCATGAAAGAATTAAAATTGTGCGGACCTCTGAAAGTTGTTTACTTTCGATCCGACGACCAGTTTCCTGAGGAAGAAGAATACGTCCATTTAATTGAAAAAAAGTATATTTATTTAATTATTATTATTTTTGTAAAACCTGTAATATTGTTTCGTCTTTGAGACTTAGCTTTTAACATTTTTACCTCCGTCATTTCTTTAAACAATATTACTTGAAGACTGTACATTTTTTACCATTTCCAATCATTATAATTACATTGTCAAAACGTAAATAATTGGCGACATTTCGAGAGAATGTATATTTCTTTTTCATTTAAGTGCTTGTATAAAGACAACATTAAAAGTGTAAAATGTATGAAATTCACATTAGAGTGGAACTCTAAAAATAAATTTAAAAAAAACAATTTTTGACAACTGATGTGAATTATATATTCATTTAATTATATTTACGCCACGGTAATTGTCTAATATACATATTTTTTTTAATTAAATCAAATTAATTTTTAATAAAAAAAAAGAGTATTAAATCTTTTAAACTGTTACGTTTACGGTCGTTAGATAAATACATAGAAATTATTTTGTATGTTTATGTGATTTATCGTAAATGATAATACAATAATTATCTGTCCTCATTAGATATGATTTAGACCTAGAAATTATCGAAGGAGAACTTAAAGGCGGGCTCACAAATTTTCTCACCAAAAATCCCGAGTTTCGCGCATCAGTCATTGGCACCAGACAGTCGGATAACGATTCTACTAAACTTCAATTTTTTCAGGTAATATTTGCAACAATTGTAGTTAAATATAGTTATTTTCAATTGAGTAATGTTTTTTCAGAATACTGATCCAGGATGGCCTCCGTTGATTCGTGTCCAACCTCTTATAAATTGGAACTACGAAACAGTGTGGTCATTTTTAAGACAATTTTCTATACCCTATTGTTGTCTGTACGACAAAGGGTGAGTAATTTTAAAACGTGTTACACACTATAATATATTTTAGTCAGTTATGTATGACCGATCTGCTTTCTCAACAGGTACACATCGCTCGGTAACAAGTCGAACAGCAAACCGAATCCACATTTAAAGTATATCGACGAAGAAACCAGAGAAATTAAATATTTACCGGCGTTTTTACTGCAAAACGTCAAATCCGAGCGACAAAGTAGATTGTGATAAATTCTAAAGAAATCATAAATCGAGTCAAGTATTAGCGATATTTATACATTATATTATACACATACTGATGAATTATATATTAAACAATATATTGTATTTTATGTTCAAATGGTGAGGGGGGAAGTAATTGTTTTATTATAAATTATAATATAAAATTATTTTATTAATGACATTTTATAATTAACGTACTCCGAACACCAATCTGCCATACGGATGCAGTATCGTCGATCAGCGCCGCTTCAATGTGCACTTGATATTGGCTGCTTTGATTGAAACTCAGACAAAACTCCGATGCGAAAAAGTCTTTGTGAGGTTTTACTGTTTGCGTTAACATCAAATGGCCGTCTGTCGGTCGGGCGTCGTGATTTCTGCTCATCATCTGAGACATTACAGTCAATTGGATTCCATCGACCTTTCGGAATTTAGCTTTGGTTCCGTGTTGTACGACGCCTTCTACTTTGACTACAAAATTACTGCCCATGTTCACCGTGATGGGTTCTCCATTGACTCGGGGTTGAGGTGATACAGCTAGTGTTATGGTGGTCGACTGGAGAGTTTGAAAGAAATATCGCGGGAAACACATTGGCGTATTTAGTAAAACAGACGCTTGTTTTTTGAGCGACTCAATGTGTTTATGAGTAATCGATTTTGGTTCGACCGTGCTCATAATTTCCAAAAGTTCTTGCCGACATTTAATGATTAGTTGTATCTCCAAGGAACCTTCTTTTTCCAATTCAGAATCCAGAACTGGGCATTCACTTTTGTTAGAAACCGCTACAGATTCTATATTGTAGGCCATCAACTGACACAAATGCTGCAAAAGCTGTAAATGATACAACGTATTAGAGTCGGCGTCAAACGCCGATTGATACAACCTCCAATATAAGTCGGCACATCCTTTAAACTCTTTAGCCCTTTTCCTCAGTTGATTCGTTATATGGCCATAACTTTGCATTTCATCTCTAGTCGCTAAAACGATGGCAGACGCTATTGCGGGCGGCGGGGTTGTGCAAAAACTATTGCAAGTCGACAACAAGCGCATGAAACATTGAAGTAGTTCACAGCGCAAACGGGTGTACTCTGTTTGGAAAATTAACATCAACGACGCTGCTTTCAGTGACGCTATAGCTTGATAATATGTCGAAATTGATTGACCAATATTGGTCAGTAACGAAGTGCCCTTAGAGAATTCAAGTTGACACTCTGCAACGCTTATGGTTTCTAGAGCGGCTAACCAAAAATGCATTTGCTCAGACCCCACTCGGTTTTTCAAATTTCCAAAAATGTCCGAGCTGATGTTAAAATGGCCGTATCTAATGGCAGCTCGACCAACTTTGTAGTTGGACCATAAGTCAATAGTTTTTAATACCCCGTTGATTACTTCTTTAATAGACTCATTAACGACGCCCTTGTCGTGCTCATCATAACTGATCGATGCTTGGAAGACGACTGTACAGAGCATAATTTTGGTAGTAGTAGACTCTTGACTGTGATTTTTAGTCAAACGTCGTAATTGATTGATAAAGTCCATTAAATAGGGTTCTAATGTACCCGGTAGAATACCGCCAAAAGCCGCAATGGCTTCACATACCAATGGATTTAATTCAAAAGTTTCTTGTTGGAACGCTCTAACAACGAGAGATACAAAATCTGGTATTAAATTTTTATTCGCTTTGCACATCATAACAGCTGATCGTAAACCATCACGTAGGTAAATTGAAGGTTTCCCATCGTTATAGGATGACCCAATGTCGTCAACATCCATAGGTTCGGCATCGTTATCAGTGTTTAAAATACTTTCAATGAGAGCACGCTCTTCAACACTGAAATCCTTTAAATCGTCATCTATTTTCTCTCTTGTAGTCAAAACTGACAGAAGATAACATTGTATGCAATTTTGTAGTTTGTGTGCATTTTCTATAGACAGTATATCTTCTTCGAAACAATAACAAGCTATATTTGTCAATACTTTTACTGCATTAGCCGCTACCGCTTCATGAGATGAGCTTGACTCTGCAATGCACATTTTCATAAGGGGGCTATCGATACTGTAATGAAACTGGCATATCGCCGGTGACTTAGTCAACGGCACGAATACATGAATAGCGTCAGCTTTTAAGTTGTTATCGATAGATGGATCTTCGCAAAATCTTACCAAATTATTAACAGCTTCCTCGGACCAAAAATGAGCTCCTTCCTTGGCAATTTGATGAAGTCCAGAAATTGCGCATTTGCATACCAAAGGGCGTTTGTCTTGGGTGAGGTATTTGAATAGCAGCTCTATTTGTTTTGGTATATCGACCAGAATTGATAAAGCCAATTGATTCAGTGTCTTCAAAGTAACGAGCACAAAATCTTGGGCCGGATACTTTTTCAATAAATCTGTACAAAGTGTTCTCACCATTGTGGCCGTGGTAGTGTCGTGATGCATATGCTTCAGAATTGGTATTAATTTAAGTTTCATCATGACGTCGGTGGATATACCGCTAATCATGTTGGATATTTTACTGCACATGCTCACAGCAAAGGATTTGGATTGGGCGGCAAATTGAGCAGCTGCGTAGATAGCCGATTTTACTTCAACTGCATTATGCGAATCCAAGCTGGTGCGTATACTATGATGGACTTGACCTCTTTCGGGTATTATTCGTGCGATGCTGCCTAGAGTGCGTAACGTAAGTCCTCTAGCAACCGGGTCGTTGGAGTGTATAACGCTATAAATTCGTCGAACAAACTCATCGATGTTCAATATTTTGTCTATGTGTTTTTCGGTCTGTTGACATACACGTAGGACCCAAAGACGTAAAAAATTGGTACCTAAACGAAAGACGTCGGCCAGCTTCAGGAACGACGAGTTAATCAATATCGGAAATGGATACTTTTCAATCAGCCGAGGAAAACGTACAATAGCTTCACATTGTTCGCCCACCCGATTGGATCGAAGGCCTTTGTCCAGTTCTATCAGTGCCGAATTAGCATCTTGGTCGGGTTCACCCAACAGTGTTTCACACATGGCGCTTCTAAACGCCGTCATTTTGGAAAACTATGTTTTATACTAGATTAACTTGAAAACTAATTAATGATACACGTATAAAAATACAAAACTTCCCCTATACAGTTTAATAATTTAAACACGGTAAGTTACACAAATATTATTATTACCGTTTGTCGACTGTGGACAAATACTTGGTTTCACTAGATATGACTTACAACACACAAATTGAAGATCTTTATTTAAATACATAACAACATTGAATAATCATTGATCAACCTATGCTTGATCATTGATCTTATGACTTATATTATGTTATGATAAATACATCTATTTTGTCATTGTTATGATCACAAAATTCGTATCCGGCAGTCGGCACTTGGTAAGACGCGCTCTTATCATCATAACAACATAGTACACGAAGAGTAATGTAGATAATAAGAAAGATAACAGGACGATCAGCAGCTGTTGGAAAAATGATAACATGACATATTAGGCCACGTTTTTTTTAAATTTTGAGTTCCTAATAAATAATAACACCAAAATCGAATTAATAATAACACAGTTTGAATGTAAATCACATTTGACACTTCACACAAACATATTTTAAAATTATAATATTTATAATAATCGTTTTAAAATTGTTTATAATTGTAAAAATTATGTATGTGTTACATTACATAATGATTTTATAAATATTTCTTACCCACACAGCAACAAAATTTAAACGTTTTAAAAATGATTCCAATGTTTTAAACTTTTTTTTATAAAGATGTTTTGTTACGAAATTTGATGTTTTAAAATGTTTTTTACAAAACGTTTTATAAAGGTTTTGAAAATATTTCTTACATTTAAATAAAATCCGTGTTACAAATTTACACCATGTTTGGCAATAAAAAAAAGCGACACATTTGTGTCATCAATATTTTATTTCCTGTCAAAATAAGATTTTTAAATATTCCAGTTAACAAAAAAAATTTTTTAAAAATAATTTCTTTTTGTTGTTTTTTGGTTAGAAATTTAATGTCATACTACAAAAATTGCTTGCAAAACGTTGTTAAAATATAAAAAAAAAAAAACATTTAAATATTACTAAAATAATAGTACAATAGCTACTAATATATTTACAATATAAAATAGTTTAATAATATTTCATAAACAATATTTGCATGGCATTTAATTTATAGCCAAATAAAATTAATTATAACTCATTATTTAAAATAATTATTTTTTTAAATGTTCAGCAACTAGGATTTTTATATTTTTAATTATTAAAACAGTATCCTAGTATAAATATATTTTTGCTGTGAATAGAAAGGAAACGGAAAATATTTTTAAAATACATCTACTAAAATCTACTATTTTGTAATAGATGAAAATCAAAAATAACTTGATGTTGAATTATCATTGACAGCAAAGCTCGCATTTTTATAATAATTATCGGTCGAAAAATGTCGAGGCTTTGTAAAAAATGTTGAATATTTAAATATTAGTTTATACTTCAAGTTAAAAACTAGATGGTATTACTATAATTGTCGAGCCATGAATTAGAAAAAATAAAAGCGAAAAAAAAATTACCAATTTTAAGACTTCAAAAGAAAAATTCAATTAAAAAACTCAAAAAAGATTTTTTTAATTCAATATATAAATTAAGGTGAAGTTCGACGATTATTGTTGTTTTGGTATTTAAGTTTAATTACTAATTATTAATTGGTTAATATTTTGTTGAATAAATAATGTTAAAATTGGTTGTAATCTCCGCATTCGGCTTATCAACTATAGAAAACGGTTCATTTCTTTTTATCAAATTTTTACTGATTTTCTTACACGGATATATTATTTTACGACTAACCAACGACCAAGTTCTTTATAAATTAAGCCTTAGAACGTTACCGGTATTTTTTAGTATCCGTGTTACTGTTTTTTGTCGAATGCAAAAAACTATGGTATTTTTTTTATAATTAACAGTATAAAGTTATTCGAAAATATTGCTAATACTAAATAGCATCTTGAATTTGCTTTGCCTTGCACCAAAACTAGTCAGTAGTCATAACCTATAACAAGTTAACTACACTAAACCTACTACGGTTGAATATTTCAATAAGCCTTCGGATACAGTTCTGTATTATCAAAAAGGTAAATCATGAATTCTTATGTTTTTATGAACATCTCTTTTGTTTTTTAACCAGTATCGTACGCTCTTAGGATGATGATGCTGTACAGAAAATTTCTATTCAAACCACTGTGCAACCGTATGCAACTACATTCGGAAGCGTTAAATAACATTCAAAAGAGCATACCGTGCGTTACGCCCATATTTAGGTAACCTTCTGATTAACATAATTTTATGTAACAGTAGGGAAACAATTCCTCTACTCTTGCTTAGCCAATCTTTGTAGAATCAAAATTTAACCTACAGTAGGTAACACCCACAGTAATTTTCTTCACAAAAAACATGATAACGCAGTTGTCAAAAGTCCGCTTTATGATTTAGTTTTATTAAACAGATCCAATCCAATCAAAAATTTTATTTTAAAATTCAATCTATTCAAGACAGCCATAATATATCTCAGCATTTGCGTAGTCTAATCTAAAAAAATTTGCTCATGTCTCGCCATAATTGGATATGGCGAGACATGAGCTAATAAGTAGGTATTAACTTTTTATCCCAGCTAGGTCTAACCTGTAAGTTATTTCCAACTTCACAATTAATTTTAAAATCTGTTCAATTGTAGATAAATTATTTGGAATTTTTTATTTTACCTTTTTACATTAGTGGTCGCATTTTCAAATATGTTCAGGCATTATTTTGTAAATTAAGATTTTTAAGTGAAATTTCAATCCATACACTAGTACCTAATAATAATTGATTATTTAATATTTTTTTTTTTAAGTATCTCTAACTGGTTCTAATTGAATGTCAATAAAAACATCAATGATTACTGGTTGTTATATAACCAAAAGGTTAAAAAGTTTTTTTAATCATGTGATTAGCATTAAATAAAATAAAACATGTCATGAAATCATTAATAATTCATAATATGCTACATTTTTGTTGCAACATTAATTACCATTTTACGAACAACAACTGTAACAGTTCTGTTCGTTGCAGTAATTGTTTAATTCTTACTTCATAAAAGCCATCATATTTCGTACAATGCCCATTCCTATATTCAGGTTATTTTATAAAATGATATGTTTTAACTCTTTATTAAGTACTAGCCAATTAATTTAAACTATTACACAATGTACGTTTTTAATTATTACAATTGATTTTAAAAAGAATTGTTTTTCTTTCTATAAATTTATAGATTAGCAAAACAATGGCCAAACAAAGTTGCCATTATAGACAAATTCGGAGAACACACATACTCTTCGATATACAACAGCAGCATCGCATTGTCCAAAGTGTTAGAAAAATGTATGAGAGGAGAAACACAAGAACGTGTTGCTATACTGTGCCCAAACAATGCGTCCTATGTGGTGGCCCAATGGGCCTCTTGGATGAGCGGTCAAATCGGTAAGCATGTTTTCAGAGTATATTTATAATTTTCTAAAATAACCATAGTATAATGTATTGTCGTCCATATAGTGGTTCCGTTGAGCCCATCGCATCCAGCATCTATGCTCGAATATTTTCTTAACGACAGCGACGCTCAAGTTATTGTGACAACATCGGAATTCGAGTCAACCATACAACCTTTGACCGAAAAACTTCAACAAAAATATTTGATTTTTGAAGACCACATAAGTTTAAACTATAAACCACTCGGCAAGACATCGTTTGAGAATGGCGACGAGGTCAAGCTGTTGGAATGTCAAAATGACGTTAGCGATGAGCAATTTTTCAATTCCAACGCTATGATAATCTATACGTCTGGATCAACGGGTCCGCCGAAAGGTTAATTTGTAAATAAATTTCATTGTGTGAATAAATTTGTTTTCAAAAAACTGACTTTGGGTTTCAGGCGTTCTGCTAAGTCACAAGAATTTGAATGCGCAAATAAATAGTTTAAAAGATTCTTGGGGCTGGACCAACAAAGACGTTATTTTACACGCGTTGCCGTTGCATCATATTCACGGTATCGTCAATGTTTTAATGTGTTCACTACACTCCGGAGCTAGGTGCGTTCGTCGTAGAGTGTTATTTATTTTCTGACAGCGAGTCAATCAATTATAAGGATCAACTCGAAAACAAACTGCTAAGTCTTCAAAGTTGACGATGATTGTTATTATTTTCAAATATTTAGATGCGTCATGCTACCAAAGTTTGACGCCTCCGATGTGTGGACTTGGTTACTGGCTATCGAACAGTACTACGGGTATAGAGTGAATATGTTCATGGGCGTTCCTACTATGTACGTCAAATTGATTGAAAATTATGAAAAAATGTTTGAGAAGAACGACAGAATGGTAGAATACATAAAAGCCGTCTGTTCTCAAAAAATTAGGTAACTTAATTTTAAAAAAACCGACTACTTGTGTCTTCACAAATCTAGTGTTGGCAACTTATAGTTGGTTTCAACGACTATTACCTACTTAATAATTCGATAGGAACTGTATCGATTGTGTTAAACCCTATTGACGTTATTTATGACTTTAGATTAATGGTCAGTGGATCCGCTCCGTTGCCTAGTACAGTTTTCGATCGATGGGAACAAATTACTGGACAGAAACTATTGGAAAGATACGGTATGAGTGAAATAGGCATGGCCCTCTCTAATCCTCTGAATGGCGAAAGGAGACCAGGTATTATTTTCAACACAGAAAACGTATTGTGATGGCTGTTGCTTATCAAATTTTGTGGCTGTAGGTTTTGTCGGTCATCCCCTGCCGGGCGTAAGCGTACGTATTGTCAACGATGACAACGTCTTGGTAGAAGGAAACAGTGTGGAAACAAAAGTAATTGACCCCAAAGCCAAACAAAAGGACGGAAGTTTTGTAGGTACTTTGCAAGTGACGGGTGATGCCGTTTTCAAGGGTTATTGGCGTAAACCAGAAGCAACTAAAAATGAGTTCACTGAAGACGGATGGTTCAAAACAGGAGACACGGCAGAATTCTCGGACAACAGTTATAGGATATTGGGTCGGACGTCGGTAGATATAATTAAGACCGGAGGATACAAAGTTAGCGCTCTGTTTATTGAGACCATAATGTTACAAAACAAATTAATTCAAGATATAGCCATAGTCGGCCTGCCGGACAATACGTGGGGTCAGAGAATAGCAGCTCTGCTCGTGGTCAACAATCAAGTTTCCCAAGAAATGGATAACAAAAAAATAATCAAAGAATTGAAAACATGGGCTGAAACGGTTTTGCCGCCGTACAGTATACCGTCAGTGATAAAACTTGTCGAACAAATACCTAGAAACGCTATGGGCAAAGTGGATAAAAAATCATTGTTAACAAAATCTTTTAAAGAATATCTAGAAGCGTACTCAACTAAATAGTTTATTTATAAATATTACACACAAATGATTATAGTTTATTATTTTACTTATATAACATTATTAAATTATAAACATAATGAGACTGTTACTTTTTCTTTTACATTTCAACTAATATTTTTTTTTAAATGTGAACATATTATTCTGCCAAATGCACATATTTATTAAATATATAATTTAACGTTATAATCGTTATATAACCTCAAGACAATACTACTACTTCACCTATTATACTCTGCTTAAGTTTGAAAACAAAAACATTCCATAAATCATGGTCCAAGTGCTGGGGAAAAATTATCTATTGGCGACTACCGATAAAAATTGACAATATTATAACAGGAAAGAAAACAAAAAGACATTATTCAAACTTTTTCTTGTATTAATAATAGACTAATTCTATCATATTTATTTTGAATAAAAGCGCCAATATAACAATAATAACCAGATTTTAGAGAAGCAATAAAGTGAAATGGTAAATAGCTATCACGCAATTCATACACTTTAAAAAATGAGTGCATCTTTATAGTAATAATAATAACTTCAACAATTTATTGTCTCGATTTGTATTAGGTTTTAAATGTAAAATTTATTTTGAAAAATGAAATTAATAAAATTCGAAATCTACATTTTCATCAATTGGAAGGCATTTCTGTGACGTAATAATCTATTCTCATTTACATCTAAATTTTGAAACTTACAATAGACATCAATTGGCAATTCAAACACTCTACTTGAAATATAAGTCTAAACAATGTCGTTTACTATATCGGTGTTTACTTTGATAATGAAAAAAAAAACTACAGACTATATTAAAAAATATAACTAGAAAACAGTTTATTAGCTCTAAATATTTAAAAACATAAAATGGTATTTGGTAAGCTTTCTTTTTTAAAAAAAAAAAATGCATTTGTTCTAGTATAATTATAAAATAAATAACAAACACGGCGACTCGTTTATGACCAATTGGACTTGATAAAATTAATGAGACCGTTTGTTGACGAATCGTGACTAGTAATGTTCTTGGAAGTTTGAAGTTCCGGCTCGATTTGTTTGGCGAGTTGTTTACCCAATTCCACACTAAACAAAAAAATTCAACACAATATTGTAGAACGCCGAGAGTTAATTTTAGATAAAATAAAATGGTTACCCCCATTGATCAAAAGAGTTGATATCCCAAATGATTCCTTGAACAAATATTTTTTGTTCATACAGAGCTAAAAAAAGAAAAAAATGTCAGTATAATAAAAATAATATTATTAAACAAATATGTTAAATACTAGTGTACCAATCAATAGTCCTAATGTAAACGGAGTAATTTGTTTGAACACAATCGAATTCGTTGGACGATTTCCAGAAAACGTTTTATGAGCAACCAATTTCTCGAGTTCTTTGGTTTCTAAATTGGATCCTTCGAGTTCTTTGCGAGCTTCATCGGGTGTTTTACCTTTCATCAATGCTTCGGTTTGGGCCAAGAAGTTGGCCATCAAAATCTATTGAATATATAAATGTCATTTAATATTTTAGAAAAATGTAGGTTTAAGACTTGAATTCTCAGAGGCGGCATCCAAGTTTTTTTTAAACTGAATTTCCAACTGAAAACCCTTTTCTGAATGATAATTTACCTTGTGATGAATTCCGTCACTAATACAATTATGAGTGACCGCTGGGGCGATAAAATCAGCTGGAATAAGACGAGTGCCTTGGTGAATCAACTGATAGAAAGCGTGTTGACCGTTAGTGCCAGGTTCACCCCACACTATCGGGCCGGTAGAAAATGAAGTAATCGGTGTGCCGCCCACGGTAACCGATTTTCCGTTAGATTCCATATCGCCTTGTTGGAAATAAGCAGCGAATCTATGCAAGTACTGGTCATAGGGCAGTAAGGCGTGAGTTTCAGCACCGTGGAAATTGTGATACCAAATTCCCAATAAGGCCAAAATAACTGGCGCCTAAAATTTCATATTTAAGATAAAAATTAATTTAATGTAATTTTTTACAACTGACTTACGTTTTTCTCCAAAGGAGTGTTGAGAAAATGTTGATCCATGTAATGTGCTCCAGATAGTAAAGTCTCGAAATTTTCAAATCCAATGGACAGACAAATGGTAAGACCGATTGCGGACCAAAGCGAATATCGTCCACCAACCCAATCCCAAAATCCAAACATGTTGGCCTCGTCGATACCAAATTCAGTTACTTTCACCTTGTTGGTGGACAAAGCTACAAAATGTTTGCAAACTGAAGACGCCTAATAAAAATAAATGTATAAATATTTGCAATTTACGATTAATCAAATTAAATTGCATTACATCTTTGGCCGTGTTAATGAACCATTTTTTAGCAGACGTTGCGTTAGTGATGGTTTCTTGAGTGGTAAAAGTCTTGCTGGCGATTATAAACAACACAGTTTCCGGATTGACTTTTTTTAGGATTTCGGCCAAATGCGTTCCATCAATGTTGGATACAAAATGAACACGAGGACCAATGGCATAGGGTTTTAACGCTTCCGTTACCATTAATGGACCCTAAAAAGAGTGATAATCATGTTTGTGAAAAAAAATGTAAAATACAATTTATTTTAATAGTAATAATAATAATAATAATAATAATACAAAAATATGACAAATTACACAAATTTGTATTCAGTTATTATTTAAATAACTGGTTTCACAAATCCATTAACCCATTGTTATTATTATTGACAAACTTTAAGAAAGCACATGACTCATTAAAATGTATACAAGCTCAATTCAAAAGTACAAAAGAGGTATTCGAAAATAAGGTTTTAAATTGGAAACTTCTTTCCAATTAGGAACCATTTAAAAGATAACAAATCGTTAGCGTAATCTGTTAATTTCTTTCAAATTTACTTTACATTGTTTATAAAAATTTAAATATATAATTGGGAAGGTATACAAAAAAAAACCATGTAATTTTCATGGACAAACAAATCTCATTTAAAAAAATAAAAAATGAATTATGAATATTTTTCTTATGTTATGTTGATTTGTCATATTAGTGGTTTTTGTATTCATGTTCAAATGTTAAAAATTTACTTACTAAATCCGATCCTCCGATACCAATGTTAACGACATCTTCAATAGGTTTACCAGTATAACCCAACCATTTCTTGGAAATCACCTTTATTGTAACGAGAATGCAATTAGAATTGTCGAAATGTTATTTTTAAGCTATTACGTATTTACTCGTTCGGTAAACTCTTTCATATGGTTCAGAACACCGTTAACTTCGGGCATTACATCTGAACCGTCGACTATTATTGGTTTGTTTGAACGATTACGCAGGGCTACGTGCAACACAGGTCGTTTCTCAGTCATATTAATACGTTCTCCGTTGAACATACAAGATCTAGCCTCTTCGATCTTTCTGGATTTTGCCTAAATACAAATATTTATTATACAACTTGAATATTGTTTAAATGTTTAAAATTGTAATATTACAATAACTAGGCTCTTACCAAGTCCAATAACAGGCCAAAAGCTTTTTCGTCCAAACGGTTTTTCGAGTAATCAATTAACACATCTCCATCATTTGGCGTAGTTAACCGTAAACTAAAAACATAGAAAACTGGTAAGTTATTGGCAAGAGTTATCAATTGATGAATTGAAGAGCTATAAGCTGTCAAAATAATTATGCATTTCTTTTCTCTAGTGATGTAATTACTACTTATTTGTAAAATGTATTAAAACTGGTATACATAATTTGAATCATTATTGAGTTTACCCTTTTCAAGTAATTTTATCACAATGTAATTATGTATAATATGTTTATTTTTTAAAGACTTTAAAAGTGTTTTATAAAGGCTTCGACTGCCAAAGATTGCCTTGGTTTGAGGTACATTTGGAATATTTGTTAAAAAATTTTTTTATTTTCATCTGTAATTGGGCTATTTTAACAAAATTTATGGTTTTGGTTGATTTATTAGACTATCATTTTAGTTGGTAGAAATATAAAGTTGATTTCTAATATTGTATTTAGTGTTGGAGAAATCAGTGGTGGACTAAGCCTGAGGGTGTTATCTCTCTGTAAGAATTTCGGTCTCTTGAGCTAATAAGATCAATTATTTTTAAATAATCTAATCAAGGACTTTTTATGTAATTTAATGGGCTTTATCATAATATGCCCATTGATATTTTATCTAAATCCGTCCTCTTGAGAAAAATATTTGTGAAATTTTAAAAATAAATTTTTTCAACAAGGTTTATGATAATATTTAATAAGCTAGTTGTTTGTTAATTTTTTTTTTTTTTAAGATTTCTCCGCAATATTTTGTTCTTACACCCAATATACAAATAACTTTGTGGGTAATCTTTTAAAATTAAACATCGGTTATCAGAGTAGACAAGTGTAATAATATTCTATATTCTCAACATCCATTACCATAGGTATTTTATAATAAATGGTAGTTTAATTATCATAATATGTAGTAGTGGACAGTGGTAGGCAGAGTTATACATAGTATTATGGCAACAATTTACTGAAAATAAACTTGTTAGAAGTTTTAATACGCGGCATTTCCCCAATGCTATCTGATGAGATAAGACACGACCGAAGGATATTTACATATCATAAAGGAAAACCCATTTACAAAAGCTTAGGAACAAAGTTCGGACGACGGAATTTGACAGCTATTTAATAACCAGCAATCGCCGACTATATTTCAATAAAAAGCGAAAACATCTAAAGGTCAACACCTCGTCTGTATAATTGTATTATGTCGTTACCACCAAGGTCAAGAACTACTTCAAACGTACATTCTCTCTCTCACCTGAATTTGTTGAATCGGTCATTGTCGTCGGCGAACAATTTCTTGATGTTCAACGACGAGCCCACGCAGGTATAGTAATCGGCTAGGGCTTTATAAGCCGGATCGTCGGTGAGCAAAAGTTTTCCCGACATGTTATTTTCTCGTGGAGGATTCCGGGTGAGAAGTTTTAAGATAAAATATCGAATTCAAAACGAAATGAAAATCGGATTTAACTGGCAGTTGTCGAACAACAGCGAAAAACAAAACGGACAACCGACAGAAACGTCGGGCGCACTCGAACGGTCGGTGGAAAATAAAAATCCAGAAGGGCAGCCGCGGCCGAGTGATAATTCTGATATCGTGCACAGCCACGGTAAAGGGGAAGGGATACGTCCTCGTGTGTAATACACTTAAAAGGATAAATGGCGGTGGGGGTACGGCGGAAGGTCGACTATCGATACCGATAAAAGAATAAAAAAAAAAAAAAAAAATGGTGGGAAACCAGTCTTTACGGCACGGCGGCGTGAAAATCTAAAACAAACGTGTATTTCATGTACACAGATTAAGAAGTGATTATTTTTTTTTTTCATAATAATTAATATATATATATATGTAATATTATACATATATGTTGTACAGAGTATAACCGTGAATAACAACGCGGAAATAGACGATTTTCGGTTGACTATCGTTACTTTTTCGCCGCGAGTGACCGCCGTGTACGTACGAATCACTTGGTTTTTTTCAAAAAAAAAAAAAATATATAGTTATTCTTTATAATATAATATTTTTTTTTTTTTTTGATAACGAAAAATTATTTTATAACAAACGACGGATATTGTGTTTTTTCCCCTCGAACGAATTCGCCGCCGATGTCGGCCGCGCGCTTCTTATCATAAGAGCTTTTTTTTTTCCAAGACGAACAGAACAGTGGTGTTTCCTTTTTGGCTCTTGCCTCTTTGCTCTATCCGAAATCGGGCATTCTTTTTTTTCCGCTAATATTATTAATTATATATTTCTTGATGTATAAAATATAATATGATATTATAATACACCCAAAAAGTACACTCGAGATTTTCCACCGAATTGACTGACCGCACACGCCTTCCGTTACTCACACATGTAAAAATCATAATAATACCTTTAAATTTATTTTTGCTACATTATATAGCGTAACGAGTATTTTGCGTTTTTTCTTCTTTTTTTTTTTTGTATACAATACTGTGTTATTATATGCGATGCGAATGAACGTCGGTGAAATTTTCAAACGCTAATAAACGTCCAAATGACGGATTAGGTTTCACACAAACCCCCGCAAACACGTCGTCGACTCCGTACGGTGCATAGGCGATTTCCAAACGCCAGCCGACGATAATTCATGGTGGACTCATCGTATACATTATCAGTGAGTATTAAAAAAAAAAACCGGCATTGTGTAAAAATGTTTATATTTGAATTGTAGCACTCGGTTTTTAAAAATTGCAAAACATAAAATGGCCGTTTTTTCCCCTCCGGTCCGACGCGCGACGTCATGAACCGCGAGGGTGGCCGTCGGCGTGCTGTGTGGTGGACACCATGGCGGCCGCGCGTGTCCACCCCTCGGACGCCGACGCTAACACCCTACTTACGCGATTGCCCATGCGCCCACCCCACCCCTCACGTGGACACCCAAAACGTTGGACCCACCCTCTTATTTTAAAAATTTTCCTCCAACTAATTTTGTTTGCAATTTTTCTATATTGTAAACTTTCCTTGCGATACTTGTCTTGTGGACAGTAATCTTATGCTTATATTATTACTTGATGACTTGAAGCTTTGGTCGGTAAGTGAAAAAAGTTAGAAACATTGTTCGACTGTAAAGTGGTCTGTCCGGTTGAGACGACTAAGGCTGGCTGGTTTCGGCGTTTTTTTTTATAAAACTGTTATTAACCCATCAACGACGAGAAACTATTGTAACCATATATATTCTCGTCGTTGATGGATTAACACGTTTATAATATACAAGTGGTAAAAACCATAAGTGTGCGGAAAACTTTTCAAGGCTTTGAATCAAAATAATATCTTATTTGGCTATCTGGTTTCAAGCATTTGAATTTGTTTTTGAGTATCCAATATCGGTTTTCACTACCTAAAATACAATTTCAGTTTAGGATATTCAAAAGACATAATATTTCTAACTAAGTTTTACTTCTAACAGTATTTAATAACTAATATAATTCGCACATATGTTTTTAAAATTATACAATTAAAAGAATGTGTGTTTTTGAGTTATCACCATAGTAAGAATTGGGCAAACAATCCTTTAATAAAAATCATATTTTTAAATTTGTATTTATTTTTTGACTTGTGTCATTTAAAAACACATGTGCGATAATTTTAAACTTTTAGTCAAGGTAAAGTAGCTTAAAAGAAGTAAAAGTATGTACTAATAGCCTGGTAAAATAATATATAAAACAAGTACTTAAGTAAATTTACGTTGCAAAGCGGTGGGTTCACATGGGTTTAAAAACATTTTAAAAAGAATATTGTTTTCCTTAAGTAGGTACTATAATGAACGGTGTGTCATAATTGAAATTTCACACTTTTATTTTTCATAAGGAACATTTTTTAACAATCCCTAATAATAATACCATTTTTTTTGTACTATGTTAAGTGTGTATTCATTTCCATGTTAAGTTGTCTAACTAAATATGCTAAAAACTGACTTACTTCCTTTAACTCTCACACCATCATCCCAATGTAAAGTTGCCTCAAGATAAATATGAAGATAGTTCTGTTTTGACCAATCAAAGGAAGACAAAATAGATGTACTAATATAAATTTTGGGAATGTTTAAACTACATCCGTACGCACTTATTTAGATGTATTGTGCTTATTTATTTTGTTTGCAAAAATACAAATATTTTTAAATAAAATATATTTATTGAACCGTTATTGTTTTAAAAATAAGTTAACTATTTATTTAAACATTTAAGGTGATTGATATCGAGAATATAAAGGCTTGACTCTCCGGCCACAATGAAACCAGTTGGTGTTTATTCATATAGGTATCTACTAAATGTGTTGCATATGACTATTTTTAATCTTCTTAATACTCTGATCAATACTTATATTGGAATTTATCTGAGATTGTTTTTCGTGTATCGTTTATTTGTTTTTATTACTATTATTATATTTCACTTACACCTTATAATAAGGTTACATTTATGAGCACTCGCTTATTAGTTTTATTGTAACATTTCAAATTAACCACACGTTCAAAGCTTTAAACAAAAATACGTATTTAGCCTGATGATGCATTTGTTTGTATTAAAAAAAAATTTATATATATATATGTGTGTTAAAAATAAATAAGCATCAAAAAAATATTAGCTTCGATGCGATAGTTGAGAAGGTATTGTATTTACAATAATGTGTTTTTATTTATTGTTTAATTTATATTAATTAGTTTTCTAACACCTATTAGTTATAATACCTACACATTGTAAAATGTAGAAATATGTTATTGTTTGGTAGATCTTCTATAACGAAAATAAAATACACAAATATTGCATTTTGCTAATACGCTTATCAATTTGATTTATATCTTTAAATAAATCTAAATATTGTTTTGGCGCATACAGCAAGCAAATTTTAATATTTTAAATATGTTTTAAAAATTAATTATATAAAAATTTAGAAATTATTTTTTAACGTTCATACAACATTTTAAAACATTTCTTACCAAGAACATAATTATAATATAATTTTAAAAAAATGGAAAATTCGTTAAACAATATTTTAGAAATAATTAAATTTTTTTTGTTATTTTTGATATTACAAAACTACACTTCACCGTTGTCATTAAACCTAATACAAATGCCCAATATCAATTTTTAATTACACTTAAACCATTAATTAATTATGTATATTTTTAGTACACATATATTTATATATCTTTTTACAATTTAGATCAAATATCTGAACATGTTATACATTAAAAATATAAATGTATTCTTTATTTTCTTATTTTTCCCCAAATGATAATTTTAGGTGTCTCTTGGTTCTTTGACGTTTAGTTATAACAATTTTTAAATTCAAAACAAATTTAAACTTTCAATATTTTATCGGCAGTTATAAATAAATTATCATTTCCAAAATTATACCAATAGTATCAACCATAATAATATAAGGTTGTAAATTGTATGTATCAGGTGATTGGTTAACTATGACCCAGTCAATAACTTAGAAGTTGTTACTTTTTTAACTAACTTTTTTTTTTCTTTTATAGTTATTAGTCGGGACCAATTTAATATTATATTTTTAAAAAAATATAACTGCTTCCAGTATTTGTTTAAAGAATGCGTATGAACTTAAGTTTTTTAAATTAAAAATAATTTGCTGAACATTTTGACTAATCAATAACCAGTTGTGGATAATTAGTTTCAAAGTTATTAAAATTTAAAATTTAGAACTGGGGGAAGGTTGGAGAGTAGAGATATTATTGTACGCGTACATTACTCAAGCTCACTTCCCCTCCCGTCCTAATTTTTAAACTTTAACAACTAACTAATTATCCAAAACTGGTTATCGACCAGTTAAAATGTTCAGCAAATTATTCTTAATTAAAAAAATTTTATCAAATATATAAGTTACCAATTAAAAAATTTAAGTTAATACGGTTTTAACATAAAAAGGGATGAGGTTATATTTTTTAATAATATATTAAATTTATCCTGACTAATAATTATAAAAGTATATAAAAAAAATTCAAACATCTAAGTTAACCAATCACCTGGTATAGAAGCACACTATAGTTAATGAGCATGAATTATTTATCTAAATCGCATTTTTTTTTTAAATTAGTAATTGAATATAATTTTTATTATTTGCTTAAACTTTACATTGCTATTATTACTTCTTATAGTGTACGACTCTGCTGCAGAGATGAATTAAATGGATCCTCAGATAGGTTGGCTGCAACCAGAACAAGTAGGTCCCGCTCAAGAATTTTGGTCCAGAATATTGGACTCCACTGAAGACACTGACAGTAACGACGACAAATATAGCACTGAAACGATTCAGGAAGAAGAAGACGACGATGATTACTCGTTGCCTTTAGATTGGAAGTTTGATTTTTCAATTGATGATCAAGAAATCAAAACAAGCAATCTCTATGAACACGGTCTGTTCACAAACATAGCCAGCACGTACGACATGAACAAAATGCAGGCGCATTACATAGGAAAATTCGGCGGCTGTCCGTGGAGACATGGGAAGAGTTACGATCGCCAACCAATTTGCACGTAAGATGGCGCAAACAAATTCAAATGCAGTATTAAAATAATACTTATTTGTAAATTTTTGGTGATTTTAGCCTTCATAAAGAGATAGAAGACTTCTTCGCTTATATGTCGGCCACGCCAGAAGAACATAACATGAGGCTTGACGTCCTAGAACGTGTAACCAGCGTAATACACGCTGAATGGCCTAAGGCTAAAGTCGAAGTATTCGGTAGTTTTCGAACCGGTCTTTATCTGCCTACCAGGTTAGGATCATCATTCTCGTGTTATTAATTGTTGTAATATGAATATATAATATAGGTATCTATTAATTGTTTATAATTTCTCGGTTTGGTTTTTTTAGTGACATGGATCTAGTTGTAATAGGTGAATGGGACACATTACCATTACATTCCCTCGCTCAAGCTCTACTTAAAAATGGTGTGTGTAATGAAAACATTCAAGTCCTTGACAAAGCATCAGTAAGTTTTCCGAGAAGTGTAATAAGCCGTTTTAAATACAGTTTTGTTTTAACCCTTTTTGTCGGTAAGTTCTTCCGAATGTAGATGTGTAAGAGTTTGCATTTTTGTTAAAATTCATGTAAAAAATAATTAAACTAATAATAGTTTGTTGGTCATTATAATTACAGTTTTTAAAGCACAGAACAAACAACACCCATATTTAACCCTTGGGCACCCGCACGACAGCACTCCGTGCCGCAATCCTTCACTAAAACTAAGAGTACTTCATAGTACACAATCCATTCGCTAGATAATGCGCAGGTATCATTTACAACTATTAGACCACTTTTTCATCCACTCGCCGAATTTGTAGCTTGTTTATCAGGCATCAGGTGCCAGTGTCCGGGGAAAAAATCGTGGGTGCCCAAGGGTTAACAGTAACACCCTAATAATTTATCGGTAATTAACAATTTGAAATATCCGAAAAAGTATAAACAAATATTTGGATTTACTGTCCTAAAAATTAAGTGTTAAAAAAAAATAATTACAATTTAGAATAAATTGTAATTATAATTTGGTGGGAAATTCTGAGACACTTATTTTGATGTTTTTCGTCCTGTTCTATCTTGATTTGATTAAACTATATGCTAAAAAAAAATTGAAAAACAAAATTTGTTCATTGTGGTGTCACAAGGTTTGAAATCAAATAATACTGTTAAGGTAGCCTCTTCTATTTTATGTTGTTGAGTTTTTATAAATAATTGTATGCATTATATTGTAACAAGCTTTATTCAATATTAAATAATAATGTTGTTTTTGTATAGGTTCCAATTGTTAAAATGACGGATAAGGCAACTGATGTCAGAGTGGACATAAGTTTTAACATGAATAATGGTGTAAAATCAGCCGAAATGATTAAGCACTATATGGACGTCTTTCCGATGCTTCCCAAACTAGTATTAGTATTAAAGCAATTTTTAGCTCAGCGTGATATGAATGAAGTATTTTATGGAGGAATATCTTCCTATAGTTTAATCCTCATGGTCGTTAGTTTTTTGCAGGTATAGTAGTAATAGTTGTCGATAAATAATAAAACATTAAATGTATAACAATTATTTAAATCATTGTTTGGTCTTAATATTCCAGTTACATCCAAGAGGAGATTTAAATTACACTACCGCTAACCTGGGTGTATTACTTATAGAATTTTTCGAACTTTACGGCAAGAAATTTAATTATATGCACACGGCCATACGAGTGAAAGATGGTGGACAATACATATCTAAGGATGAAGTATGACCATGAGTGTTTCAATGTGTTGCAAGAAGAAACTAATTAATGGGAATCTTGCAGGTTCAAAAAGACATGGTCGACGGTCATAGGCCAAGTATATTGTGCATTGAAGATCCATTGACCCCAGGCAACGATATTGGACGTGGTTCTTACGGCGCACTTCAAGTCAAAAGTGTATTCGAATATGCGTTTACAACACTTAAGGCTGCACTCGATCCTCAAATCGTCTCCCCTTGTTTCAGGTCAGTTGAAATTTTTCAAATATAAAACAAATTGTCACAAACACATTTAAAAGAAGTGAAATATTACCAATTTAACTGCCCAATCCTGGTTAGTTACTCTTATTTTATACTTATAGTCTGGATAGATTTTTTTTTTAGAATTTTCTAATAAAATGAAAAACCAACTCTGATTTCTGGCTCCGAGAGGTGCCATCCATCAGTTTGTTTTGCCACAACAATGCTAACTGTTGTACACATTTGATTAACAATTTTAATTGATTTTTATTGCAGTATACTTGGACGAATTGTACGAGTTAACGACAAAGTTATACTATACCGGCAATGGGTTCGGGATACTTACGCCATACACAATACTCAAAGAATGATAATCAATAATTTTTTGGCCTCAAACACCATTAGTAACAATGTTAGCGCATCAACAAATACTAGCAGTAGAGCGTCTACTGTGTCTTCTGGTTCCGGATCTGCTGAATCTGTAAGGGTTTCACTATTTTTGTAATTTTTGTGATATTTAATTTGATGTTCGATTTGGTGTTAAGGACTCTGAGAGTAGTATAGAAAAACTAAGCGACCACGGCGATCACAACGATCAGAATAGTAATTATCAGCCGAGGCGTAAATTTCCCCACTACCATCGACACAACAGTTGGAACAATCAACAAAGTCACCAAATAATTAATCCAGGTAAAGGACTTTTTTTTTTTCAAAAATATTTGCATTAAACTAGTATTCTATTTAATGCCTCTAAATTAAAAATTATAGGTAATCACGCAGCAATGCGTACCCAAAGGATAATTTGTCCCAGTCCGGCCAACACTTACCAACAAAGGGGTTTCACTAACAATAATTACAATAATAACTATAACCATCATCAGAATTATCGGCCTAATTCTGGAAATAAACACCAATACGCTGGTAATTACCAGCCTCATTTTGGTAATTTTACGTCATCGCATAAACGGCAAAAACGGAAAAACCAAACACAAGATGTCAGATAAAAGCGCGTAAATTTTAAATATAATAAAAAAAAAAAATTAGACAAAGTATATGATAACTTATAAAAGTATTATAATAAAAATTTTTTAAAAAAATTATTAGAAAAAAAAATACAAAAACATTAAAAACGTAAAAAAAAATTCATTATATAATAATAATAATAATAAAAATAAAAATGAGGTCGTTTTTTTCGACAATTTTTTTTTTCTTAACTTAAAACAATCATATTTATTATATAGAAGAAAAAGTATATTTAACAGTTATATTTATAAAAAAAAAAAGTTAAGTTCTGTGAAAATTATTTTAAGAAATTTCATTAGAAAACCAAAATTAGCCTTTGCGCTGTTTTAAATTAAAAAAAAAAAACCTATAAAAAAAATTAAAATTATAAAAAAAAAAACAAAAAAGAGAGATACAGCGATTTTTTATAAAGCTGGAAAAAAATTTATTTTAAAATGTTCACATGATTGTTTTTTTATTTTTATTTATGCATACGTCCAAATGTGTCTTCTTATGTCGTAACAAGACGAAATTATAATTATTAAACTCGGGAAAAATGTCCGTTGGTACAGCGATAAAAATGTTTTCCATACGCGAAATAATGAGTACGATATAACATGTGTAAAAGCGTGTACACTCAGCTTACGTAGTTAAAAAAAATAATAAACTGTCACTGCCACACGACTTAAGCGTTATTAAATTAAACTAATTGATAAAAAAAACTGCGGCCTATATAGATAAATATATATATATTTGTAAATATATTTATATATATTTTTTATGTACTCAAACGTTAAACGAATCGCGCGTGCGTCTAAGCCCCACTGTGTTCCTAGTCATTTTTATATAATTAAATTTTAATTTACATGTAAATTTGTAGTAGTTGTAAAAAGAAAAAAATTATTTATTATAATAAACTAAACAGTGCAAGTAAATCGCAAGTTATTTGTACGTACGGACAAGGTGTCTTTCAATAAAAAACTTAAAAAATATAATTAAACGCAGAAACGTGGAGACATGTTCATATATCGGAGCTTAATAATGTATATCTATCTATACTTAAATGCTAATTGATGTGCTATAATATATACATATACGAGTTGTTTTTGTTTTTATTTTAGTTATTATCTTTATTTTTTTTTTCGTTAGCATGTTTCGTTTAGATATATAAGCGTGTGAGATGTATGGAAAGATTACGATTCGTTACTATGTTCATAAGTGTTATAGTTTACCTATGCATAATATATACTGCGTTGTATCCTAAAAACTGTATAAAATTAATATATTTATGTAAGGCAAAACACCAGTTATTTTATTCAGCATTAAATGTAAATACGAAATTCGTTAAATTATAATTTATGACACATGAGAAAATGTGCAACGCCGTGTATATGTAACATGCGATTATATATAGTTACTACGGAGACTGTTAACGTCACCAAAATTATTATGTAATAAATTTGTATACATTTTTTTTTGCTTAAGGTATAAATATTACGTTTGTTTTATTATTATTCATTATTATTTTTTTTTTTTTTTTTTGTAATAAACTTATTTTTATGCAAAAACCTGTGTCCTATAGAAATGTGTATGATTTTTCGATTAATTAATATCGACACGTTTATCCCAATTTCTAAAACTAAAAATTCTAAAATTTCCTCAAAAAGACATATTATTATTTCATTTACATTTATTTGTTAATAATTATTATTACTTCCGTCTTAAATATAATATTTTCTCACATTGTTAAATTGAAAAAAAAACTTTAAAGATGTGACGCTTAATAAAAATTATGAAGAGTTCAAAAATATATTTATATGTATGCCCAATCTGTTAATAATATATACATATTAATATTATATTATACATATTGTATGTCATTATATATTTTTAGAAACTTCTTAATCGACTTCATCGGCCTGTTATTTAATGTATATAATTTAATTTTTATATATATAATATTTATATATATTATGATTTCAAAAACGTTATCAGTTCCAGTGAAATGATCTGTAAATAATAAACATAGTAAAGTTATTTTTTCTTACGTTGAATTTTTTTTATGCAAGCGTTAACTTGTAAATTCCGTAATTTTTTTTTCAATTTACTTGTCAACAACACAAATTGTAAACAAACAACCACCAATTCCTTTATAATTGAATTAATTTGTTTATTCGTTAATATATTTTTTACTTGTATAAAATATCTAACTTTTTCAATATTAGATATTTTCAATCAATAACAATACTATTAACGTTTAAGATTTGGTGATACAAATTAAAATGTATAATTAGACTGATGTGTAATTTATTTATTTAAATGATGTACATATTTTTTTAGTGTATTTCAACTGTTAAACACTGTTATGTAAATTTTAATGTTTAAAAAAAAATACCAAAATATTGTTGTTTTATTTAAAATAAATATTTATCAGTCTTAATGTTATATCATAAGATGATAAAAATAAATGTTATAAGATGATTAATGGATAATGACTGGCTGATTAGGGCCGCAGGAACGATTGAGGAAAGTATGAGGTAATAGGTATTTATTGTATAATACGACAAATTGGATAAATTCCATTTACTTAAAAAGCCAGTACATTGGCGATACAGCCAATGTTAAGGTATATGAGGTCACAGTTCTACAGGGTTCTTATAACTATTAGTGATAAAATCCGGTACTGTAGTTCAAAAGATTGTGTTCCAGACACAAAAAAATAAATAAAAAAACAATACCGTCTTTGCTCGGCATCGCTGTTGCTAATAAATCAGTAAAATATGCTTATTGGTCGACAAATAAAGATAATACATAACAAGGTCATTATTGTAATACATTTATATTATCGTTTTTAGTGTGTACAAATTAGTATAGTAGAAATCCATAACATACCGAGGTAGGCGTATACATCATTTGTACATCATGCAATATTTTTCCACTTCAGCTCTAAAGCAGGTAATTAAAATTGCATTGATTCGTTCGCTTAGGAATAGTTCATAAGTAGATAATTTGTTTTATTGTTGACGTAGGATATCTAGTAGTAATTATGTAGGTAGTTCAAAAAAAAAAATAACAGCCCGAGTATATTGTACCATTAGAAAACAATAAGTAATAATAGTATAGTAATTATTATAAAAAAAATTTTTTTTTTTAAATCCTGTTATCTAGCCTGTAGTTAAAATTGACAAAAGTATTTTGAAGGTTTTTGTAGTGTTCTAAGTTGTTTATCAATAAAAAATAGACTACTGACTGGTACATTGTTATTGCTATATTTTCTATTACCCACGGGTAGGTTAGGTGTACAATATGATTATGTAAAATTATAATTACGTTGTTTTTTATGAGATAACCTAATAATTAATATATATATATATATATATATATATTACTATTTTTCCGTCTGTTTGCCGAATAAAAGGTTGGAGTTGGCCGTTGGGCAACATGTTGAACAATATACAGGGTGTTCAAAAAGTTCGAAAACGGTCAATTTTTCGAGCCGTTATTGATTTTTTTTCAAATTTTGACTTTTGGTTGTTGGTAGGTGTTATTTTATGCACATTTAAGGCTTAAATCCAAAATCTTACCTTAAGTAGTTTGCGCATGCGTGGTATCAACTTTAGAAATTTAAATGGGAACCCCCAATCTTTTTTTAGATATTCTGGTCAAATTTTAAATTTCTGCCAAGCAGTTTTTGTAATATTATCGGAGTCGGACTGACAGGTTATTATATGGGAATTGTGTTATGAGTTCATTTCCTATCAGCTCTGATATTGTGCGGCATTAAATATTATTATTATTCGACTTGTTGCTGAGTGTATTATAGTTTAATTTTCTTATTTGTACACTAATTTTAAACATTAATAAACTTAAATTTAAATTATATTTGTTATGCATTACTATAAAATGTATTTGCTTTTTTAATATTTTGTGTATTTTGCACGTTCCCGACGAGTACATTTTTTGAAATCATAGTTCATATATTAAATTACACATTTGATAAAAGCCGCATCAAATTATCTGACTTGTACGTACTTAAAAATGCTTTTGAATAGAGCACAACATGAACTTTATTAAATAGCAATAACTTTTGAACCGTATGATATTAAAAAGTGTTTTTAACATTTTTTTACTTTCAAACATGAATTGCTAACAGAATATTAAAAAAAATTTTGGGGAAAAATTGACCGTTTTTGAACACTTTGTATACAGGGTGATCATTTTATCGTGAATCGCTCAATATCTCATAGGGTTTAATTAAAATTTTATTTTATTTTTTCATAGCGTTTTTATATAATGTGATCTCACTTTTCCACAAATCTTTATGTTCCTACCCCCTTCCCAAATACAATTTTTTTTATTGCAAGTTTTTAAACTTAAATGGTAATGCGTACGTTTCATTAACTTTTTAAATTGTCAATAATCTACTAAAAATGTTGACTGGTCCATAACCAGTTTACAGACCTATTCTATGTAATTGTAAATAGTAGGTACACGATCATAAGTATTTGGGTATCTACTAATAAAATTAACTTTTAAATACAAAACAAGTATAACCACCTATAAGTTATCCGTACAATAAGCAAATTATTAATTTAAAGAAAATCGTGGTTTTATAATTACTAACAATATACTAACAAATTATACACGTGTCGTTCCACAATGTTGATGTTATCATTTTTAGATATTAAGGAAAAAGGTAATTTATAGTTTTCAAGTAGAGGAGGAATATGCATTGATAAAAATTATGAATTTACCATTCCTGTGCCGTTGTATATTAAATTTATATGTATATTTTGATGAATAGTTTTAACTGAAAATATGAAGATGGTTATATTTTATTTTATCATTGAAGACTTATATTAGTAATTAAATTATGCATAGCACACAAAGAAAAGAGACAAAATTGTTCTAATATATTTTCTAAAGTATATAGAATAAATTTAAGACATTTGATCAAATACGTTTGAAATATGAATAAACAATTTAGCTTAGATATTGTTTTTACATTGTTTTTTTTTTTATGGCTACACCCTGGATATTTTTTAATCTCATAAGGTACTTTAAAATGTTTAAAATATAAAAAGTTTACACCCCCCCCCCCCCTATCAAAATGGAGAAAAATCAAGTGTACACATTTTTCTACATAAAATTACAATACCTTATTCGTTAAATGGGTATACAGTGAAAATCAATAAAATATCATATTATTAACCCTTAAAAAGTAATAAAAAATATGCGTTATTATTTTATTTATTTTTTTGAAACCATATATTAATTAAGGATGGGGAGTCCTCATTATGCTGGGCTTTTGTGTTGATTTTACATAAATAATCATGTATTACTAATACAAGTCCAACTCGTGAACAGCCAATTGAGTTTTTTTTTTTTATAAAAGTATCTTATTTTGAAATTACTTAATGTTTGTATTTTATATTTATTTGTCCTTCGAGTAGGTATGTGTAATGCTGTATAGTACCCTGGTAAAAGGTCTGATGTTCAAAATAACGAATTTTGGTAAAATGAAATTTAAACTTTGAATAAAACTTGAGAAACATATTTGTATTTAAATAACTTTTGCAATAAACATAAAATGTGTAACTGGTTGTATAAAATACTTTTACATGAAGAAAAAAAAACAATTTATCCCTTATAATATATTTAACCCCATTTTCACTTAGGACTTAAGACCTTTTACTCAATTTACAGAATTGTACTGTTTTTTAAACTTCATAGTTCAAATAGCAAAATAAATATTATTACATTACGAAATTCTGTTGTCTATCTGTGGTCAGGTCAGGTTAGGTTAGACCTGTGGTAAAATTTGTACCGAATTGTTGATACTGGTTTTTTTCGGTGATTGATAATTGATACCAATGTCAAAAGTCGAAATCTACCAACATTTTCATATAGATGGGTAATTATTATTATTTATTTTTCACTAGTTAATAAGTGATTTAAGTAAGAAGTAAGTCAACAAAATTAAATATCAAGATTGCATTACACATTATTAATAGTGTCTGAACTTTAAGCCCGCCTACTCGGTCAACAGTCACTTGTAAATTAAATGTTTTAAATTGTTAATGGAAAACAAGTTAGTAAGTTTATTAATATTTTCATATTGTATTACATACAACTATATAGTGTTGCAACTAATTACTTTTTTTGCCATTAGAACAACAAGTTATTTTTATTGTTTAGTTTATTTATAGTAATTTTTTTGCTTATAATAAATTCAAATTATTATTTAATATACAATATATTGAAATGTTAAGTGTAGGTACCTATTGTTTTAACTTATAAAGAATATATTAATAATAGTATATGGTTGGAACAAATAGTTTAAAGATTATCTTAATTATATTTTATTGTTTTACTCTTACTATAGCATAGCTATTCTATCGGGAAATAATATCAATTTTATTCTTTGGTTTTTTTACAAGTTCTTAGTTTTTTAAAGACAATTTCATAAATTCTATTGAAATTAAATAAATTCCTAATAGTTGTATGAAAATTACTTCAATTTTGAAAAATTATATTTTACAGTTTGAAATGTTTAAAATCGCCGCAGTCGGTTTATTGATCATTTCATCAAACATTCTATCGAGCGGATACAAATTTCCTGATGGATTTATGTTTGGTGCATCTACTGCTGCTTATCAAATAGAAGGCGGATGGAACGAAGATGGTAATGATTTTTATGTCATTTGATCACATTCCAATCACGAATTGCATACAAATTTCACAATGTCAATAATCATTCATGATTACCATATAGGAAAGGGCGTAAATATTTGGGACCATTTGACGCATTTACGTCCAGAATTGATCAGAGACCATTCGAACGGCGATGTCGCTTGCGATTCTTACCATAAATACAAAGAAGACGTAGCTCTCGCAAAGGATTTGAATGTGAGTGTTATCTTAAAACCACTGCTAATCTAGTTCGTTGTTTTTATGTTATTAAAACAAATTACAGTTACAATTTTACCGTTTTTCAATATCATGGTCTCGTATAGCGCCAAGTGGAGAAGTGCACAAATTAAACCCAGAAGGAATAGCCTATTACAACCGTCTTATCGATGAACTTATTGCTAACGACATTGTACCGCTGGTATGAGTCCATTGTGTTTACATAATTATCAGATAAAAATCTTGACTGTATGTTTGTTATTACACATAATAATTATTGCATATTAAATCACGACAGGTTACGATGTACCATTGGGATATTCCTCAGTACCTTCAAGATTTAGGCGGATGGGTCAATCCAATTATGTCCGATTATTTTAAAGAGTATGCTCGAGTACTCTTCTCTTACTACGGTGACAGGGTAAGCATTTATAAAATTTGAACACGATGTTTAATTATAAAATATATTATTTGTGCATATTTTAGGTTAAATGGTGGATTACATTTAACGAACCCATGGAAACAAGTAAAGCGTATTCGTTTAACGGTTATGCACCTTATTTACATTTGAACAATACCGGCTATTATTTGGCTGGTCACACCCAACTCATAGCTCACAGTAAAGTTTACCACTTGTACAATGATGAATTTAAAGACAAACAACAAGGTTCAATGAAACACACACAAAGAGTAAATCTAAAGTCAAAATAATAATAATGTTTTCTATTAATTTGAAGGTAAAATTAGTCTGTCACTCAACGGAGTTTTTTTCATACCCAAAGACGAACAATCTCAAGACGATATAAACACAGCCGAACGAGCCAATCAATTTGAGGTATTTAATCAAATTGCTAGGTTAAAAAATCAAACATTTTTATTTGCCAATTTTTTAGTAAAATAATGTCAGTTATTTAAGTCTTTTACAACAAACAATTTGATTAGTGTAGTATTTGGATTGTCAAAGAATAATTCGAGGACAAAAATTAATAGGTAATAATAAATTTGCTCTAAATAGGGGAAAAAAAACTCAAAATAATGAGTAACATGTAAAAATTAAAATTATAATATTATCAACAAAATAAATTATTTTTACAAATATTTATAATCATTATGAACAATTATATTTATAAAGAATTTTTACATGTTGCAATCATTTCAAAGGTTTTCCCGCCACTGCTCTAATTGTTTTTGTCCATAAATTATTCTTTAGTAATCCATGTGTTGTGATAAAAAACAGGTAATTTTGTTTTGTGCACTCACTTTTTTTGCTAGTATTCTTAAAACTTATCTAAATGTATCAGTTACTTTGTCCTAGACTTAACCTACCCTAATAAGGCATTTATTATTATTGTTTTTTAATATTACGTTTTATTTTCAAGAGGGGATGGTTCAGTCATCCTGTATACAAGGGTGATTATCCGCCTGTGATGAGACAATGGGTAGACAAAAAGAGCAAAAAAGAAGGTCGGCCATGGTCCACATTACCAACATTTACAAAAAAAGAAATTGAACTCCTTAAAGGTACAGTGCTGGTTTTTTCATTTAAACAATTAAAAAAAAAAAAAAATAAATAACTATACATACTTTGCAATTGATTATTGGTTTTAAGAGATTATTATAGTAAGCCAATAAAATACAATTTAATCTTATAAATAATGATAAAATATAGTTGATTAAAAGTTATTATTGATGTGTTTAAACATCAAGCAAGTAACAATTGTGTATTGTATAGGTACGGCCGATTTTTACGCTCTCAACCATTACTCGACTCGTATGGTTACACACGGTTCCGATCCAAATCCCAACTATAATCCAGATGCTGAATATGCGACTTTTGTGGACAAATCTTGGCCAACGTCAGTGGCATCGTGGCTTATAGTAATACAGTTTTTTTTGTTTAAAAAAAAATTAGTATCTTATCAATGTTTTAATTGATTTTTTCTAGGTTGTACCGGAAGGCCTTAAACGACTCCTCGTTTGGATAAAAAATGAGTACGACAACCCACCAGTTATAATTACAGAAAACGGATTTGCCGACAACGGCACACTAAATGATTTCGAAAGGATTAGCTATGTTAAGGTGAGTTAGAACTAAAAAAAAAAAAACTCATATTTTATGCAACGAGTTAATGTTGTTATTCTGTTTTAGAGTCATCTGAATGCTACTTTACAGGCAATATTTGAAGACAAATGCAACGTCTTTGGCTACACAGTTTGGTCATTATTAGATAATTTCGAGTGGATGGACGGTTACGCGTAAGTAAACAAAATTACATAATATGTCAATAAAGTTAAACATTGTTGTTAAAAAAAAAAATAATTGACTATTCGATATAATTTCAAATGTTTTTCAGATACCACTTTGGACTGGTCCATGTAGATTTCAACAATCCACTAACACCTCGTACTCTTAAAGCATCGTATCAGTTTTTCAAGAATGTTGTTGCTACGCACAGATTAGACGACTCATCGTTCACAACACAATCTCCGGAACTTTGACTAAATATTTTATTTTGTATCATTATCTTATACGCAGTCTACATTTTTTATATTTTACTATGATAATTAAAAGATTACAGTGTGTTAACCTGCTGTTAAACTGTTGTTTAATATTTTATACATTTTGTTTATATTTAATCCGAAATTTTTACTCATCAATTTTACTGTATCATGAATGAAATGTGTAAAATTAAATTAATAAATAAAATATACTTACAATTAATTAACCAAAAAGAAACTAGCTTAGCGGCACATAGCTAATTATTATAAGAAGGAGCTTTCTTATTGCATTTACTTTTTTTGTTGGATCGTTAATCTGTTGCCTAAGAGAGAGATGGTGGCTTGTTTTTAAACTGATGGTTTTTCGGTCTATAAACAAGAAGCCTATTAGATTAGGTCTGTTGTAGCCTGTCTAACTCGCTAAACACAGCTATCTTACCAACAAGGCCATTTGTTTTTAGTTTTATCGACTAATTAATAAAAATTAAAATCTCAGTAACTTCTTATATTATTTTTAAATTTTATTTTATATAGTTTTTTAAACTATGTTTTTTGATTAAATTATTAATTTAACGTTATGACACGTTAATATTGTTCTTTAATAGGAAATGTACAAAAAATGAACGATTATCAAAGTTCTTTAAATATAATTAAAACGAATTACAAATTATATATTTTTGAAACTGCTTGGTAAAATGAATTACATACCAACGGATATCGTCATATAATTGTTTTAATGAAAACAAACAAAACAAAGTATCTTATGTTACAGTATGCCCCAACCTTCCTCGAAAGCGGAACATATTTTTGTACAAGTCAAAGCAGCCGATAGCGGATAGTTACTAATCGATACGGTTTCTTCAGCGTAATCGGCTTTTATCTAATGTAAAAATTAAAAATAATAAGAAATTATAATGTTTACCTAATAGATAAATATTTGTGATAAACAGTTGTTTACCTGTCCGTGTGCCATCGCTCCAACAACAAACGCTACTGGAGCGTCTTGAGACACAAACTCAGAAGGCTTGATGGCTTTTCCTGCAGAAAAAGAGGTAGCTATTTTCCGACAACCCGCCGGCATGTGGTCAGTTATAGGGTTTTTGATGACTTTCATTAGTTTAGCGGACGTTTCCGCAGCACGTACACTAAATTTGTGTAACAGCTGGACTGGGAAAATGAAATTTTGCCGATAAACACGAGAAAACAAATAATATTAATGTTTCAGGACAACCTACCCATGAGTCCAGCAAATCGTTTGAAAGTCCTCGGTATCCTCGTTTGAGGATTAATTTCGATGAGAACGTTGTTTTCGGTGTGAATGTACACCTGGAGCAAACCAGCTCTGTTCAATGGACTGTCGAACAACATTAACAGACACTGGTGGGCTATATCCGGTCTGCAATTGCCGAGTTCTCGGCCATGTTTACGTAATATGTGGCCGTGTTCGTCGGGATTTAACAATTCAAAAGCTTTTCCAACCTGCAGTTGATTATTACAAAACATTACCGACCGGCTGTATTGAAATTTTAAAAATTAATAAATTACTTTGACCGTCTCCAACTGAGCGTTTTCCAACACGACGATCAATCGTTTCTCGTTGTCGTCTTTCACTTCTTTTGCCTTTTTGCTTAAATCGAATTCCGTATCTTCATCGGTACGTCGTCGTTTTTTACCCATTTTGGTTGATTAAAATTTAACTGAAAATTCGTACAAAATCGTTTTATTGATGCAGGTAACAGCCACCACTCGAAAGTCAAAAGCGAAATTCCAATAAAAAATGTAGTCATGTAGACACTAGAAAGAATTAAGAAATAATAAAAACACGTGTTCGTTGTGTTTACATTGATTATCTGTTATCATCTTTGATAAGAGTTATCTGTGATATTTGTCAACTATACGTCAAGTGCCAATCGACGAGGAAATTTCAGTCTTGCTTTTAATTCAGCCTTAATTATAAATTAATGATTTTTTTATTTTTCAAACTAGTTTGATAAAAAAAAATACTCAGATTTGGATATTTAAATGTGTAAGGAGTGATGAAAAGATAACAAATCGAAACTAGTTAAACATAAAAAAAATATATATTTACAATAAACTGCTGTGTCGTTAACATTTATAGACAATGATGCCCAACATAAATATTGTACCAACCTATTCATAGGGACCTTTACATGGAATTTACCTTGAAGTTTGCTTATTTTAACCAAAAATATTTTCACTAAGATATCAAGTGCCAATTGGCAAACCCCTATCACTACACCACTAGCAATACATTAAAATATTTGTTTTACATTCACAGAGAATCAAGAAAAGTACTTTTAATAGATAAAAATTATAAATAAAATATGTTCTAACAAAAAATATGTTTTATTAAGTAAGCTTGAGTATTAATAATTGTACATAACTAAAAAAATAATAAGCTATACCCTATTAGAAGGATACCGGTAATGTTCAAATTTGACATTGAAAAATGAAATAATTTGATGTTCTAAAATTATCAAAATATGTAACAAGTGTTATATTTTTAATCAAAATTGACTTATATACTTATATACATTAACACATAATGTTATGACTGTAATACATTTAAATCTTTATATAAGTTAAAATTTTAAATATACCTAATGGTATTTTTATTACCTCAGCTTCTTTCAAAAAATTTGTCACACATTTTTGTCATTCTTTTTTTATTTTTTTTTCAAGCTGAGGTTTTTTTAAATATTAATAAACAAAGGCTATTATTAAACATATTTTTACAAGAACTTATTTAAACAATTAACTTTGCATTTGCAAAGAGTCCAGATCTCTACATTGAATTCGTTACAATGTAGGTTAGGTTGCCTATCTATTTATTTTAAGGCGCTTAAGATTACTAACAACTTAAATCGGAGCAAAAATTATTTTAAATATTTATTAGAATATTTATTAATGCAAAGTTCATTAATTTTCAGTTACCACCTTTTTTTTTTTTTTTAAAGAAGCGCTTATTTCGTATTTATGTATTAGTATATTATGTGTATATATTTATTGTTGTTAGAAATCTGGAAAAACACGTCTGTCTAGACAGTCAGTTCGTACATCCCAAAAGTGCATTCGGTCAAATTGAAACTTATGCATATCATACGCGCGGGGTGTGTTCTGTACAAGGATTTCTCTATCCCCGTAGTACGTCAAAGCATGAAAACATAATAAATAAATAGTATATACGTGTATCCGATGAAAAATCGACGGTGAACCGCAAATATATATATATATTGCACTCTTGCTTTTCGGTCACAAAGATATATTATGACGAAAGATCTGCCCGTGCATTTTAGTTGCGCTAATTAGGTAAAAGAAAATTGGTATGTATTAATAGAAAATATCGTCTGGACTATATCGCGCTCGGAAAAGACACGCTGACACTTGTAGCCCAATCTAGGGGGAAGCTTAAGTCATCATTATCTTCACAACAGCGATTCGGCACATCCTCGAACGGATCGACTCTTTCAGCCGGTTTACACGGCACACTGTCCACCCGCTCTGCCGGGGTTGAAAATAACCGATTGCCCGTTATAATGTAGCGTGACGTGTAGCGATGCGCATGCAAGAATCACTAAAACGTCCAATTAGAATTAAGAAACGGCGCGCCGGTCGATTTATAGCGAACGGGCTCATTAATCCGACGCCGCGATGTTTGTTATTATTATTATTATTTCAACGACGTTTAGATAATATACCTACACTAGTTCGAAATGATAATAATAAAAAAATACCTCGAAAAGAGAGAGAGAGAGAGAGAGAGAGAGAGAGAGAGTAGAGAGATGGGTTGCGCGGTATACGGTTTGTTGTTTGTTGGCAAGGGTCGCCGAATTTCGTCCATCAACGACGCTCCTTTGTATTAGCCCGTCTTAACCCCGTTTAACCTCTTATTACCGCGCCTTATTATACAATTATATTATTATTATTGTCATAGCCCCCAAAAATACATTGTTAATAATAACACATTTCAACGCCTTTCGTTTTTCCGCCAGACGACCGCGTTATTATTTTCACAGTGTACTTTCGACGCCTCTTTTCCGCTCTGTTACAACAGTTGGCGCGCAACAGCAGGAGGGCGAAGACTTTGGGCCGAAAGCTTTGAATTTGTATCACAATAATTAAGGCCATGCGGGGTAATTTTGAGCCAAAACGGAACAAATATAATTCAATAATCGAAAATTTAGACAATTATGTTATTTTTTTTTGGCCAAGCCGAAACTTTTGAAAGTTTTATAAAGTTCACACAACGAAAAAACCGAACTAACCGCAACTATAATCAACCGAATAAATATATATATATATATATATGTATTATAATATTATTAAACACCATAAATAATCGAATTGTGCTCCGCTGTACGCAATACATTGAAAAATAAGTCTGACTCGAACCGGGTCTGTCCGAACCGGGTGTTAGCCGAGTTACGGTATTAATAATACAACATATGAATAGCGCATTATTACCGTCGCTTTGCCTACTTATACTTGCAGACAAGAGCGGATTTCTTTCCAAAGCACAAAGACTATAATAATAATATACTTTCTAACGACCTGGAAAATACGGGTTTTACGGGTTTAAACGCGCAAAATTGCTTTCGAGAGAGAGAGATTGTATGCAAAACAGGCCTTTTTTTGCCGGCGGAATAACTTCTATTACGATCCGTCCGGCTTAAGCTTGACAACTCGAACCTGCTCGGCAAAAAGACAAAAGTATAAGGCATTTAGAAACTCCACCATTTCGTTGGAAATCAACCAGCACTTATGTTCAGAATTTTTCATAAATGTCAGATGTATGTATTACTAGAAAATTAATAGGTACATTATTTGAACGCGGTTCGACTTAATAAAAGTACAATAGAAACGTTTGTGGCGAACGGGGTGTATAAATTGTAGCTTTAAAGTAGACGTGAAATGTGAAATGTGAATAAAAACAATAGTTTCTTTGAAAAAAAGCATCTACCTCAACACTACTGCCTTAAGCGACAGACTTCATTTTTAGTATTGTCAGTCAACATATAATTTTTCTCTTGAGGATTTGTAACAATACAATTGCTATGTATTGCAGTCTAATTTGCATCAAAATATTTTTACTTTAATTTTTAAACCGCAGCAAACAAACAAAAATGTCATAAACCATAATGTAAAAAATGCAAATGAAGTATTTGTTTATAATATTTTTCGAATAGGCTCACTCTTAGGAATGTTGTTTAAACTTGTGCGCAAAGCACAAAAAAGGAGATAAAAAAAGTTTGTAGTTATTCAACCATGTAAAATTGCACGGTATTCTTAGAATATGATATTCATTTATGATTTAGGAGGTTCTTAAAATATAATTTCGGTTATACAAACTAAGCGTTTCAATATGTATGGTAATCACTTTCATAAGTGCGCAATGGGACCCTATGTGTATGAACTTTAGAATAAATATTTTATTTTATGCAAAGCTTAAGTCATATTCTAACTGTTTACCAAATTGTTATGCCTATGTATATTTTTGTCTTATTTTATTTCTGTACTATCTGTTAGATGGATTATTAAGTGGAGTTTTGACTGGGCAGGTTTGAAATATTTTTTTCAACTGTACATTTATTGGTTTCAGTTGTATATTTATTTTTTTAAAACAAATTTGGAATTATGTTGCTGGTCTGACACGAAGCTTCTCTCCACTTTTGTGTAGGGTTTTAGTAAAAAATTATTAAAAAAAAAAAAAAAACTTAGAAGACATAAATATAAATGTTCGCCGTAATTTAATTGCCAAAAAAACAGATTAATACTATTTATATATTTGTTCAAATACCTATGTCAAAACAGTTGTCCCATTTAGACTCCAAAATATGTTAAGTTTCCATTGTGCTACCAGCTGGCAGCTACCTAATAATAATAAGTTGTTGGTTTGGTTAGTACACTAAGCGTAAAAGCTATTTTAGATCATAAAATATGTTTTGATACATTTAATACAAAAAACGTGTGTGTTTTTCCCAATCAAACTACCGCATAAACATAATATCATTGTGGAAATGGTTGGGGTATGATGTTATAATTAATTCACCATAATTATATGTAGAAGGCTCTTTGAAATTCGCCGATGTCGAACGGTGTGTGTTATATTAAATGTCTAGACACCGGAAGTCTGGGAGAATGAATAAAACAATTTAATTGCATTTTTCTTTTTAACATAAAACCGGTTACATAATCAGTTATTTTGTACACAGACAAGCGTCTTTTACAACGGCATGGCAAACGGCCCGACAATTAGCGGCCAAAGTGAAAATCGTTCAGATTACATTCGAGGCAAAGCCGACAAAAAGGTACCCTGAAAAGTTCCCAAAGTAAGATTGAGGTAGCTCAGTAGCTGACATGCTTTGTCGTGCTAATAGCAACGAACAATTTATCATAACACAACATTTTTGGAACGTTCCGGTTTGTCTTTAAATGTGTCTTATATAATGTACAATATTAATGGGCGTCGAGGCCTACTGAGTGTAGTTTACTGAGTTAAGTTCAAGTTTCAAGAAATGCGAAGCAAGCTTTGGCGATAATATTTAAATACTAAATGTATGCAGATGACATACAGATTAGGTTTGGTGGAAAATATGACGTATATTGTACAAGTGTATAGTATTTATTTAATGTACTAAAAAAAAAAAATGCGCCAATAATTGATTAAATTACTGACTCGAAAGCATCAATTTAGGGTTTTACTAAGTCCTTTAAAACTCGTTGGCTGACAGTTATAATAATCGAGATGAGGCCATTTTAAATCCAAAATCCAAAATATGTAGAATATACTATGAAATCTATAAAAAAAAAAAAAAAATCGT